TTTTCTGTTCGTAGCACAATTGCCAGTATTATCTTTATCTTTCGTTGAAAACTTGTGGCCATTGTGGTAGGCCAGAGAGTCACCAGCATTACCTGATAAGACAGATAAATTATAAGATTTGTATATTCTCATACCTATAGTATAGTCTATTATTGATTAAAGTTGACCAACAACTGCTATTAATTCGTAAAGTTTTACCGAAATTCTACGACAATACTTCGGAAACATCGTCTAACAAAAAGTGTAATGCAATTTTGGCAGCTCACCTGAATAGCCGGCGACATTGAGAGTGTATCGATTGGCTTCATCAGATATTTTAAAAGTGGTATACTGTGCATAAACCTGAGCGTTATTGAAATCCATCAAGTCAATTCTCAACTTTTTCAGACCAGATTTAGTCAAGCGGTGTATTTTATCTAATCCTAACCAGAATTCTCCGTTAAAATCGCCAAATCCAGATTTATATTGAGACCAGTCCAGAAAGAAATCAACACTACCATCCAGTCTTCTCTGAATAACTGTCCAACCTCCAGATTCACATCGGACTTCAAATGATCCCTGGCCATCTGGATCTATTGTATATACTCCATCATTTCCCACTCCAGACTCAAAGAGATCAGCACAGTTTGCTCCAACTGAAGAATATAGAATATATGTGTCGAGAAATGATCAAAGAGTGCAAACAGTTGCAACAGTCTCTCGTGTGAGCGAGTATAATGATATAATTGTAGCATTGTTTCAAGATGCATTTAAGAAATACCTGCCGAGTTAGTATTAGTATCCGAATTTTCTCCAACGTAGCTTTCATTTTTCAACTAAAACCACAGTTAATAGACTAAGAGCTAAAACAAAGAAACAGTTCAAAATGAACCGTGTGATCGGAGGGCCAGCCAGCAGGTCAATATTAACAATTTAGTACATAAGTCATAACGTATTCATAAGGCCACATAAAAAAAATAGTTGGTTAGCGTCCTTACCTGTTGCCAAAAAGTGGGCGGGCGCGCGCTTTTTTTTTTAAAGTTTTACTAATTTTTAACGCCTTGCAGGTTTTACTCACTGTTAGCTCCGAAACTTGATTTTCTTGCGCAGTACATATTATATATTTCAAAATATGATTTATACCGTCATTTTCGCACGCAATTTCGCAAATTATTAACACAATTGACTGCAGTCAACAGAAATACTACATATATTAGAGCCCGTTGATCAATAAAAGTGTTTTTTTTTAAACTAAAAATAAAAAAAAATCCTGAGCGGATCCTTTTTTGTGGGCGGGCGGGGACGCTAGCCAACTATTTTTTTTATGTGGCCTAATAATATCACTCACAGACATTCGAACGCAGCTGTCAACGTGTGATGTAAATTATATTATTATTATATGGACATGGGTGTTTTACCGGAAAAACACTCATTCGCTCGAAGATATGAATATTATTTTCTGGTGTTAAAAATAATATTTGACAGGACTCACTCGCTGCGCTCGTTCGTAAAATATTGTTTTTAGTTTTTCACAACTTGAAAATAACATTCATGTCTTCTTGGCACCGTGTAATAACCTCTATTTATTTGATACTTGATTATTCCAACCCTCCCAGCTGTGTGTCAACGGTACAAACGCAGCAGCAATAAATAAGTAATAAAGAAAGTCGAATTCCTACTGTGAAAAATTGTATGAAAATAAAATTTAGTCAGATTATTTACAGTATTTTGTCCGTTTAAATAAAATTTAGTTAATTAAAACAATTATTTATTCGGCAGTAGATTAAAAAGAAAGACTAGAATTTTGAAAACACCTGCAGCTGTCCCATCATAAAGACGTATGTGGATCAGTTTTTGTCAATTTTCATCATCTCAGACCCCCGTTCACACGATACCGGCAGAGTTTGAAAACGGTACGAAATTCTTACGTTTGGGGGTTGCGTTCACACGATGCCGGTATGAAAAAATGTGAAACCGTAACGCTAACCGTCACGGAAGGGTTTGAAAACCATATGCTAAACGTAAGAGTTTGAAAACGGAACGAAATTCTACCGTCAGAGTGCCGTGTGAACGCCCAACCGTACGAATTTCATTACGGTTATGCAAAATGAATTAACAAAACTGTTGTTGTTGGATATTTTATTCTGTCTATCTTAACTGATTTGTGCAGCATATTGTCAAAGCGGAATATAATCTGCCGGTGTCGTGTGAACAGTTGAAACCGTGATGATTTTCTGCAGGCAGAATGCCACGCCGGTATCGTGTGAACGGGGTCTCAGTCACTTTATAATTTATAATTATTTATATACAGCCTTTTTACAGGTCTTGTTTTTCTTGATTGCGAAAATTCGTATCGTTTATTATTATTATTATTATTATTTAATGTAATGTTTGTGATATAATGGGGGAGAATGAATGCAAAATACCAACCTTTTTATTGAGTCGATAAGTTTCAAGGTTTGGTAAAAGGAATGTAGTATACGATGGGGAATTGCAGTAATTTTTAACAAAAATAATTTCAAAGGCACGTTAGTTAGAAATGTATTATAGTGTCTCTGTGTCTCATGTGTTGTTTAAGATTCTTCATTAACATGTAATGTCATGCCATGCCGTTAAAATGAAAAAGAAACCCTAATTAAGTCAAGACAAAACTTACAGTTTGTAGGTCTTGATAAAACATCCATTGTCCATCCTCAGTAATGATTTCATCTCGAGTTTTATTACTCAACTGACAATTCACTTGCCGGCTTGTGTCAGCTGTGGTCTGAGATCTGTAGTTGAATGAAATACAGCCAGGTTCTGTCAGGCATTCATGTGAACATTGCAATTGTGAATCAACGTTGAGAGATGAAATGACGTCTGTTTCGGACAACTCGCCACCTTTTGGAAACAAAAAATACAACGTCAATAGCTTGTCACAGCAAAAGACCACCGCCCCACCGGCCTTTAACTTTTTGCCGTTAATGGTTATATACTTAGTTAATATTTTTATCATTTTAAACCATTCACTACAAATACTGTTATACTTGAAAACAAGTTGTTACATAGTTTAACATTTTGTATATAAGCATGGTTATAAATTTTAGATCTGAAATGTCATGTATATCTGACGTTTTATAAACAATAAAATATACAAAAGAAATATTGAAATTAAACTTACCAGTAGCTACTTTATAAAAATACTTTTGTGAAACTCTGGCCTCTACAGACCAGAATAGTGCATGAAAAAGCACGAAAACAAGCATGGGCAAAGTGCACATTTCACGGCGTCAGAAGCGCTATGAATTATAACAACTAAATGAACTCAGTAGCGCATTCTCGCGCAGGTGCCACTGGGGGCGTTTAAAAAGGTGCGCAGTTGTAGGAAAAACGTCTTAAGGACAGAAAATAATCCCACTGCAATATAATATAATGAATTCTATATTATACAGATACGTACTATTATTACTAATATACTATAATGAATTTTATATTATACCGAGTTATATTTATCATATGTTACTAACAATTAAAGACAAATATAAAGACAGATTAGACAATTCATGACAGGGGAAAGAAGGAAGACTCTCATCCCAACTGACACCTAACCCCTTGACATATGTTTCAGTTAATTATCGATATACTTCAGTTAATTTGTCACAGGGCCATACCACAGAATAGAGAATACAAAAGCCCGAATTCTTGGTTTTTCCTATGATTTTGGCGTCACATGGGAATCAAGGCAATTAAGGGACCGTTCATTATTTATACCCGGGGTTGGTACCGAAGAGATATGGGTTGGGTAATCAAGTTTTTGACTAGCTCATGGGTTGGGTAAAAAAATTTATGGCTGTTTGTCAGCTATAAAATAAAATAAAACCAAAATTACCATTCATTGGAAAATATGCAGAAAAATGTGTACAATACATTCTGTACCAAAAAAGACCATCAGTGATATACATGTACTGATAGAGGAAGGACTCTATCATTGATTAGCAGAAACGTGATTGGTTTGGCACACTCAGTAAATTCGAGTGTGAATGAGCTTTTAGAAATTAGGCAACTTGATTTCTCTCACCATGTGTTTAATTATTGTGTGTTTAATTATTATGAAGTACAGTAACACATGGGTTGGGTAAACATTATTTTGACCAATGTTGAGGTTGGGTAAATAAAAAATTTACAGTGTTTTCGCTTCTCTTCGGTACCAACCCCGGGTATAAATAATGAACAGTCCCTAAAGACATTAAAGTTGTCGAAATGGCCAATATCATAGCGCTGTATTTGTACATGCGACCAACCAAAGCAGAGCATTTCTTAACCAATCAGATTCACGCAGTCTCGTCACACGTGCGATGCATGATTTTTAAATCCCCACCCCTTTGCGTACGGCCACAGAATAAAGACACACAGAAGGTCGACTCAGCCAAAAGCCTCGCAATGATGCGATCAAAATGCTGACGCTGTTAAGTGACGTAAGTAGCAGTCCGCTTGTGGGAATTACTTGACAATTTGCATGCTATGCAAAATATTCAAAAGAAATCTTGCACGAAATTGGACAAATTTGAAAAAACACAATAGACACAATACTATAGTAAACTGGAGTTATTGGAACGCGTTAAAATTAACATCAGGTCAAAAATGAACTTGTTAATCCTGCTATGCCAAGACGACATTGAAACACTTTAAATTGTTGAAATACAATATGCATTTGAACAGCTTTCCTCCTGTTTATCAATGTATTGTTTCCTGCAGTTTGAATAGAACATGACACTCAGCTGGGCTAACAGCAAATGAATTACGAATTCAGAAATTAGCAAGTTTACTGTATTTCATATGAGATTGTTAACTGTGTTATCTGCAACAATCTCAGGGAAAAACTGATCCCAAGCCCAAGGCCATGCATTACAAATAATATATGCAAATTCGCTTTATACGTATATAAACCATCTGTTTTCAATGAAAACAACTTTTGGCGGTTTGGCGCCAAAAGTTATTTTAAGATCGTATTTCACACAGACGCAGTGTAAATATTTACTCATGCAGTTGCAGAGTTGCTTGATGACTTACTGATGAAAACAAGAGAGTTAGTGCTTCACTCAACAATGTCAGGTACGTATGGTTCATTGGTTCATTTGAAATATGTAACCGTTTAATCTCCAAGTCATTGTACCTACGAGCAAGTAGCATCATAAAGGACGTGTGCTACTGTGCTTCCATGGCCAGCAACGATTTGAAGAACGTGTTACGTGTATTTTAAGAATTAAGACAACTACCCACGCTGAGAACCAACAGTTTGAAGAATCTGTCACAAAGGACGTGTATTTCAAGATAAACACGTCGAAGTACGCGTTCTTCGTCCTCCCAAATAGACCAAAAACAAAGATCCGAAGACAATTCCTCATCTGTCAAATACTGTGCTTTATTGCATTTCCGATGTTTAATCTTGGATCAACATTCAACAATCTTCGTTTTGGTTATACAAAGCTACTGAAATATGTAAATAAAACTTCAACTATATTTTGAGCGAAGGAAGTTAGTTCCTGTATAATCCTAAACTTGCAAATCTTCTTGTTTTTTTTCTGTAGATGAGACTATAACATCAGAAAAAGTGACAGGTCATGTAAAATGGTTTAATATTAGTAAAGGGTTTGGTTTTATCACCAGAGATGATGATGGTGGTGATGTTTTTGTTCATCAGGTAAATGTCTCCACTGCTATCTAAATCTTAGCTTCCACTTCATCATATAAATATATCGTAAACTGTCATGTGTATCGTAGTCATTAATATATAGTTCCTTCCTGGTTCTCAGGAAACAAAGAATTAAGCCTCGTTTACACCGTCAAAGTTTCTCTGATCACAGTAGGAATTGACAATTTGCATGTTAGACTAGATTTTAATCTAAGTAAGGAGAAGGGAATCGAACACCACAGCTAAAAAGAACACAATGAAATTATTAAAATTGCAAAATTTGGTTGCGAAATGATATAAAGCTTGGAAAATACAGTCTTGCAAAGTTTGCCTATTTTGTATATGTTTGTATTACGTACGGAAATTGTTTCCATTTTCGGCTCAAAAATGGTAACAATTTCCGCACGTAATACAAACATATACAAAATATGTAAACTTCGCAAGGCTATATTTTCCGTATTTTATAACATTTCGTAACCAAATTTTGCAATATTACTAATTTTAATAAATTCTTTGCGGGAATTTACTTTTTTTTGCCTAGATCAAAAATTAGTCTAACATGCAAGTTGTCTATTTTGCACAGGTAAATTCTAAGTTTTGATGGATTTGTAAGAAGTCTAAGAAATGTTTGATGGAACACCGAGTCAGGTCCCTCAAACACTTCTCATAAATCCATCAAAACTTAGAATTTACCGATGCAAAATTCCTCCTGTGATCACAGAAACTTTGATAGTTATGCCAAACCAGCATTTACAGCATGTTTCAATGCCTTACGTTCAAAGTGAATAACAGTAGCGTACTTCTTGTATTTTTTGAGCAAAACGTTTTACTTTTAGAGTGCAATCAAATCTGAAAGTTTTCGAAGTTTATCCGAAGGCGAGCCAGTCGAGTTTATAATTGTGCAAAGTTCTCGAGGTGACGTAGCAGGTGACGTCAGTGCACCAGGGGGTGGGACAGTACAAGGCTCATCACGGGGGGAGCGGAGGAACAAAGGAGCACGACGATACAGTAAGAAATGTTATAACTGTGATGAAAAAGGACATAAGATTAACGAATGTCGGAAACCACGACAAACAAAGCGATTTTGTCACAATTGTGGTTCTATTGAACACGTGATACGACATTGTCCTGCGCTGCTACAATTGTTTACCAAGCTTAGTGGTTTTCAAACCAAAAACCTGCCTTGAAATTTAAAAATATTATAGTTTTGAAAATATTTATGGGATACATATTTGTGTTGTGGGTCAAAAGAGGACGATATACAAATATTTAAATAACTGTTCATTTATGTTTAATAATATATAAATATGTATATACACGCGGGATAAATTAAATGTATCTTTAAAATCACTTTTTAATAAAAAGAATTCTTAATACGTAAGTATCGTCTATAGTTTGCATACTATGATATTCTGTACATTCTAAGACGAAATGAAAACTGGTTTCAATGGACCTTTCACCTTTTGACTAAAATTTAGATTTCAACAAGTCTAGACAAAAATTTTATGACAGCTTGAAAGAGCATCACAAAATTAGTAATATTCCGAAGTTTCGTTGCGAAATGTTGTAAAATGCGGATAACATAGCCTTGCGAAGTTTGCAATTTTCAGTCATTTTGTGTTACAAACGGGAAATACATACCCTTTTTCCGAAGGAGGTATGTATTTCCCGCGCGTAATACAAAATGACTGAAAAACGGCAAACTTCGCAAGGCTATATTATCCGCATTTTAGAACATTTCGCAATGAAACTTTGGAATATTACTAATTTTGTGATGCTCTTTCAAGCTGTGATAAAATTTTTGTCTAGACTTGTTGAGATCTAAATTTTAGTCAAAAGGTGAAAGGTCCATTGCCTTATTTTACATCACTTCCGGTAGTTTTAACAGCCAAAAAGACCACGAAGGTGAATTTTTCTTATCACAAGTGTGTAAAATTCCTGATCACTGTATGTGCACTTCAATGTTTGGTTTAAATACGAGAGCATAGAGAATTAGACTTATTTTGGGATTTGGGTAAAGCTTGTGGATCAAGTTAGGCTTGTATACAATTGAGATTTATTTCCTTCTTTCTAGAGGCTCAGTTTAGTAACCCAGCAGGCAAACATAACTTTCTGCGCATATCTTTCGTGATTTCATCCACTCACAGGATGTATCTATGGTTCACAATATCGCACAAATTCCAGACTTCTTTTTTCCTTTATCATCTTTATTCCTGCTTTCATCTTTTTCTTTCACATCATCTTTGTCATCATTCTCTTTTTCTTCCTGTCCGTCCTCTTCTGTTCATTCTCATCTTCATTCTTATCTTCATTCTTATCTTCTTTATCTTCATTATCTTCATTCTTATCTTCATTCTTATCTTTCTTTTTCTTTTTCTTTTCTTTAACCTTATCTTTCTGTTTGTCCTCTGTTTGTTCATCTTCCTTCGTCTTACCTTTCTTTTTATCTTTCTTATCCTTCTTACCCTAAAATAAAACAAACTTCAATTGAGTTTAATCGCAAAATAGGATACGTACACTTTAAAAACTCGTCAAATATTATTGGATAAATGATAGGATTGGATTTTCTGATCAAATTCCGAGGTTATACAATATTTTAATCAAAATGAATTTGCTCCAAGAGAGCACACACTCATCTAGGGGGCTTACTCGTTCCAGGATTAGTCTTGATGAGGAATCTGGATAAGTTAACCAAACCATGATTTCATCTAAGTTACCTTTTTAGAATCTTTATCATTTTTCTTATCATTCTCTTCATCATCTTCTTTTCCACTGTCCCCTGCTTCCACTTTAGTAACTTCCGTTTCCACCTTTCTTTTCTTTCCTATAACACGATCAAATACTCAAGATTCAATCATTGGAACATCACGATCTCCACTATCAACATTACATACTCATCAGATTCATCACCAAATTTAATAGCGACATCATCATCGTCATCATTACTACCATTAACTCAATCAACACCAGCACAACAGAAGAAACATGCAATACCACGTCTATCGGTTTATCACCTGCTAAGGCATTACCACAGTTAACGTCCCACCACCATCACCACTACATAATCACCATTAGTATGCTACCACAGTATCACAACAACCACCACCTGATAAGGTAATACAATGGTTAATTTTCTTACCTTTGTCTTTCACATCATCATCATCATTTTCTTCCTCACTTTCTTCCTCTCCACCTTCAGTGTCATCATCGTTTTCTTCATCTTCTTGCATTTCCTTCTTGTCTTCTTTCACTCTTTCTTTCTTTCCATCCTCCTGTCTCTTCCTTTCTTCCTTTCCACTCTTTCTAATTTCCTTCTCTCTATTATCCCTCCCATCCTCTTCTTCACTGCCTTCATCATCATCTTCACTTTCGTCTTCAGTGATATCTTCATCCTTCGTATGACTTGCTTCAGATATCTTGCTCACTTTCGCCTCACTCATTCTGCGCAACGAGCTATGGCTGCTTGCTTCATCATTGTCTAGAAACAAACACAAGTTTTATGGATTGAAACACAAATAAACATTTCCACCAAAATCCCAAGGGTCACGAAACAAAGAAATCCTCTACGTTTCAACATTAAATCAGGCCTAATTTCAGGTGATATCAAAAGTGCGAGTTAATACCGTCATCATTTTCGCTATCTTCATCACTGGCCTCAGACCCAGACTTCTTCACACTCTCACGGCCTTTTTGATCCTTTCGGGATTTCTTCACATTTTCTATGAAAATACAAAAGGAAAAATGTTTTGGTGGTTTTCACCAAATAGTGTACAGTGGTCAACCTGCAGTTATCAGAGTGAGAAATGAAGTCGATGGACCTATTCCCTAATGAGTAATGGACACAATTTTGATCTAGACAAGTCTAGACAAAAATTTCATCACAGCTTGAAAGAGCATCACAAAATTAGTAATATTCCGACATTTCGTTGCGAAATGTTGTAAAATGCGGATAATATAGCACTGCGAAGTTTGCCGTTTTTCAGTCATTTTGTATTACGCACGGGAAATTGATACCGCTTTCTGAAAAAAGGTATCAATTTCCCGTGCGTAATACAAAATGACTGAAAAACGGCAAACTTCACAGGGCTGTATTATCCGCATTTTATAACATTTCGCAACGAAACTTTGGAATATTACTACTTTGGGATGCTCTTTCAAGCTGTGGTGAAATGTTTGTCTAGACTTGTCTAGATCAAAATTTTGTTCATTAGGGAATAGGTCCATTTGCTTCAGTGGTACTAAATAAATTATTGATTATAAATTATTATTTTGTTTTGTTCCTATCAGGGTAAAGACGTTGACTAAAACGCACCACATTTCGCACCTTCATTATTCTCATTTTCTGTCATTATTTTTTGTTTCCGAGGTAAAGGTGTAGGTCTAGAAGTCGTGCTTTCTCTTTGTCTCCCACCCTCCTCACTGTCTGACGAGGTTTCAATTTTCTTCTGTCTTCGTTTTGGACGTGGTGGAAGTCGCCGTGAGTTTGCCAATCTTTCCGAAGTGTTCTCTTCATCGTCCGGACTTGGACCTAGTAAGACGAAAGTTAACTAGCGAGATGGAAACCTAAACAATACTAACTTTTTTATACTGGATAGCTCTATCAGATCTAAATTGTTTTTAAGGGATGGTACTACAGGAGGAAACTTAAGCTAAACTAACTTTATTTATACTACAAGAGTAATATAATCTCTTGTTGGTCCAGTGTTACTGCAGGAGGTAACAGGTTTTATTACCAGAAAAAAGAAATGTTAAAAGGCATCATATACTTTACTTTTTATTGAGATGATTGGCAATGTTGATCTATCAAGTGGGTTAAGTCTTCCATTACTGACTGGTTTGTTCTCTTCTTTCTTCATCGTAGCCAGACCAAGGCTTGCCAGAGGTGGTAATGATCGATTGAGCGGAGGTAGTGAGCTTGCCAGAGCAGTACCCTTGGTTAGAGAATTAGGAGGAACTGACAAATATCTTTCTGGCCAATAGTTAATCATTTGGTGGGTTTCACTAAACACTATGAAGCTGCAGATAGTGGTGAGATGTCAGTGTTTCGCATGGTGTGCAAACTTGTCTTATATATATTGTGACAATCACTGACCATCAGATCCGATGCCCATGCAGTAACACTTACTGAAACCCATAGATAAACTGAGGGAAAACCCCAATAAATAAACAGACATTGAGACAAACAAACAATAATTACCTCAGTGTCTTTCTTCCGTCTCTTATCTCTAGCGGACATCCCAGACATAGGTACAGTTTGGGATAATCTTGGACCTCTTGGTCCATCAGGTACATCTTCACCACCACTATCCTCCTCTACCCTGCTAACCTCCTGTTCTGATCCCTCACTGTCCTGGATATCATTCTGTCTCCTGGCGGCAACAGCCAACATATGACAACCACCACATGACACTTGCTCAACATCAAATTTCTTGAACCTCTTCACTTTTGTAGGTTGAAATAAATTTGAGAAGCTTTCATCACCCATACCCAGCTTGCCATGACGACCATCACCAAAAGAATACATTTCACCATTTTTAGTTAACACTGCTGTATGGCTTTCACCACATGACACAGTGGACGCAAATTTTCCTTGTAATGTAGAGACAAGTTTAGGGAGTGCTATATCTTGAAATGCGGGCCCATGACCCAACTGTCCATGCATGCCAGAACCAAAGGTGAACAAGCTACCACGTTTAGTAAGTACAGCAGTATGGTTACCACCACATGCTACAAACACTGCAGGTTCATTTAAAGTTTTCACTTGCTGTGGTTCTTCAGTGTCCTCACATTGATTGTCCTCAAGACCAAGTTTGCCAGCTTCATTATCACCAAATGTATAAAGTTTTCCAAGTTCTAGAAAAGATAAACATATTACATGATCTATTCCCTCAAGGCCTACTCAATCATCTTCAAATAACAGTGTTATCTCGTACCGTCCTCGTAGATGTAAGACAGCCACCTGGAACTCCTTACCCGAACACTTAAGACTAGATCATTTATCTCTAACGTTATTTAAAAAGTCACGATTAGAGTACTACCATAATGCCCTTGTATCTTGTTACGATGTGGATGATGCTCAAACCTGGAAAACTGTTTGCCTGAAGTGCAACACATCGCGCAATCTAATCGATGTCGATCCCTGTTGCTACTAGACTAATTAGTCAATTTTTTTTCGTCTGTAATTTGTCACTAACTTTAACTAAAGGGCCCACAGTAATTGGTGTAAACTGTTGTGGTATCCCCGCCTCTTGTTATGTCTCATGTATATGAATTGTTGTACTTGTTTTGTGTACGTTTTTTGTCAAGGCGAAGCTAAATAAATAAATAAATAAATTGTTTGTTTGGGTGAAAACCACTGTGTTTATCAGCTAGCAAAGATATTACTCTATATGCCGGGATCTTCATCAATGCAAATACTGCAAAACATGCTCTGAATATAAGCAATCACAAACACTGCTCTTACACTCCACGTACTTATGGAGATATGGCTTACAGATATCTGTTCCCTTGATAAATAAATAAGCATGCTGTCTTCAACAAAATAAACCAATGATATTTGTAATTGTACAAAGCTTGCATTTAAAAAATTACCAGTAATGACAGCAGTATGATAGTAGCCACAAGCCACAAATGCAACTTTGGATCGAAATTTCAATAAAGACGGTACTTCACATTCCGCAATACCAAGACCTAACTGACCCTCACTACCAGATCCCCACACATAGAGCTCACCATTCTCTAAAACAGAGATAAAACATACAGTTCAGAATTTGTTGTAGTATAATTTGAAGCTCTGTAATGTCAATTGGTTGACAACACACATAACATGTATCTGGGAATATTGGTAAATATATTACTTGAAAATCATATCCCTACCTGCAAGAGCAGCAGAATGTTCAGCACCACATGAAACTTGTGTGATAGTTTTATCATTTAAAGCTTCTATTTCAGTCGGAACATTATAACTCTAAATGTTAAGACAATAGGAAAGAATAGTCGAAACCTCTATGGACACCTCTCCAATATACTTAGACATTTTGCTATATCCATAAGTTCAGTGTTCATATCATAGTCTGAGGTCCAAGTCTCCATGTTAAGAAATATTTTTGATGTGATGTTTGTGTGATGTTACTCTGAGTGTATATCCACACCGGGCACTGGCGGGCAGGCTTGAAAAATATGCCTGGCCACGGCGGGATTCGAACCTACGACCTTTGGAATACTAGCCCAATGCTCTCCCAACTGAGCTACGCGGTCAGGACGGTTCGAGTATGCGATATTTCGGAACTGAGTCTAGTTCCTTCGATATCAGTGTAATCTAATAATCATGAAATCTGCTGTGTTGGTGTAATGTACTCAGGTGAATAAGATGTTTGTGTGATGTTACTCTGAGTGTATATCCACACCGAGCAGGCTTTCATGATTATTAGATTACACTGATATCGAAGGAACTAGACTCAGTTCCGGAATATCGCATACTCGAACCGTCCTGACCGCGTAGCTCAGTTGGGAGAGCATTGGGCTAGTATTCCAAAGGTCGTAGGTTCGAATCCCGCCGTGGCCAGGCATATTTTTCAAGCCTGCCCGGTGTGGATACACACTCAGAGTAACATCACACAAACATCTTATTCACCTGAGGACATTAATGCAAAGACTGCTTATTTCATGTTAAGCATGTTTTTTTTACCTGGTTATCTCCATGCCCCAACTGACTATCAGCACCAGCTCCAAAACTGAACACTCCAGATTCTACAGAATTAAAAGATCAATAATTATTTATTAACCCACTGAGTGGCAGCACTCTCCAATGGACAAGTAAAATTGTCTGGCACTAGACAGAGTATAATTGTCTGGCGTTAGACAGAGTAAAATACTAAAGTAGGGTGCATCAGGGCACATTGCCATTGAAAGGGGTACCGTAACTAATTGTTATTAGGTAATTATCAATTTAAATATTACCTGAGATAACTAGGGTGTGACTTCTTCCACAGGCAACAGCTTTTACTCTGTCTCCTTTTAATTCTGGTTGAAAAAATATTAAATGAGGTTACATATATTTAAAGGTGCTCTACAGTCCGATCTGCGCATGTGCACAAAGGAGCCCACTTTTTATGATACAAACAGTTTAAATTAACTATGTTTTGAGTTCTTGAAAAGCCTAATTGTTGTTTCTTGATCATTTATTATACTCTAGAAGCTTGAAAATATAAATAGTTGTCGAATAAAGCTCAATATTTTGGACACAAAAATGTAAACAAAGGCTTTGTTTACATACGGACTGTAGATCACCTTTAAGCAAGGTTAATGGCAGATATGTATTATGCATGCATGTTGACTTCCGTTTGCGGGAAGCCCATGACTCCAGTCACTCCACCTCCGGCAAAATAGGCCAAAACTCCGGATCCAGTGCACAGCACTAACATGTGAAGGTTTCATACTTTATTATGCATATTTGACTTACTTTTAACAACACCTGGCTTGGTGTAAGGTTTAGTATTACCATGTCCCAACTGACCCCAGTCATTGCTACCAAATGTATATAATCTTCCACTACCTAAAATAAGGAATTTTAACTTTATTACAATTCTTCATAGATTCCAGGAAAAATTCTCAAACTAATCCTTAGCTTAACCCATTGAGTGCCAGTGACTTCCCTTTGATGAGTAAAATTGTCTGGTGTTAGACAGAGTGTTTAAAACAAGAAAATAGGATGCATGCATTAGCTAGGATGCATTAGCTAGGGCACAATGCAACTTAATGAGTTGAATATCCTAACTCTAAAACTTCTATGTGGTAATCATGGCCACCGACATCACTCATCTGTCACATATTTCCACAATGAAATGAGTCATGAATGTCCTACACCAGCATAGTCATGTACATTAAATTATTATGAAAGCAAATTATTTACGGTTTGCCTAATTAACTCACAGGCATTCATTGCCGGGAATCATCATTCACTCGAGAACATAATTTTCATCCTTAGTGATTACTGATTAATACTGTCAAATCATACATCATACAAGAATACAGTATAAATAGTCTTAGGAAGTATTTTAACGACCCTCACTTGTAATAACAGCAGAATGTTCGTCACCGCAGTCTAGCTGTAAAACCTTGTCGTCTCGAATCCAAAATTTATTCGCTAAATTTTCAGCAAATCTAGTTTTACCAAATGTGAAAATAGCCCCCGTTTCTATAACAACAAAAACAAAAAGAATTGAATGAGAAACCAGAGCTGAACATAATAAATAGTTTCTCGTATTAACAGAGAGAATAAATACGCACAAAATCTCTGAAAGGAATGCAATTTAGTAAAAATAAAGTTGAAATCAAACCTGGAATTTCATCGTCGTCAGACGCCATATTTGTTTTGGATTCTTGGATACAGCAAAAACTCTTTCACATACATCAGAATGTGATTTACCCCCAAATGCATATGTTGGTAAAATTGTTTATTTTAGTTTTTCGTTTATTTTTTATACTTATTTTACTTTACTTTAGCGTATTTTTGTAGATATTTAGGCAGAAAACGATTCAGAATAAAAATAACTGGATTTCACTATTACATTAATATCATGCAGAGTTATCAGGCAGGGGAAACGACAAAACGCGGAGCCCAGGTCCGCGGACTACCTTCGTGGACTTGGTCCGTGGATTACACTCGTGGACCGCTCACACGGATTACTCTCGTGGATCAACCAAACTGGTGGTTTGAATTCTTGACTGTGCATGGAAAAATGTGCTTGAGTCAAGTTCAGTCATTCTTATCATTGTGGAAACTCTACACAAAATGTGAAATTCTAAATCAATTCACTAAAGTGTACAATTACGACTTTAATGCGATTCAAAGTTTCCGAATATATGCCCTTAAAATTGGTAGTTTTTGTTTTCTTTTTGATTGCTACAGAAAATGCAAGAAAAGCGGTAATCAAGCTTCAAAAATGAATATTTTTTGGAGAGGACCTCCAGTTCTTAACATTAAAATTCGAATAAATTGGTAAAATATAAGGCTGTTTTTGTCACGTCCCCGTACAAGATTAACCCTTGCGTAAGTTTGCTATTAAGCCCCTGCCCATAATGAATAAGACCTCTCTGGCAGGAATACGATTAAAACAATTTAAGATATCTATGCTGACTTCAAAAACGCATTAATAATTCATGAGAAAACTGACAAAGAAAAATCATAAGCGTGTTGTATCTTTATATGTAATAGAGATTTTCCTTGATTTACATAAACTATAACTTTGATTTTCTCTACTTACACAACATATTTTTTGAAAATTACTTCGCCAATGAACTTACTAAATCGATCGTTTTTGAAGCAATTTAAAACATTCGCATGCAGCTAGTGAGTTTTTTTTTCAGACCAAAAGATACTCGGCTTCGCCTCGTATCAGTTTATACCTGATAAAACATTGCTGCTCATGTTTTAAATAGTACTTTAAAAATTTTGTTTTACTGATCTTCCGGTTGTAGGAATATACACAGCATTTCAGTCTTTCATTTCTCCGCTTCAAATGTGGAAGGCTTGCTTGAAAGTGCAGAAGATGACGAAGAGGCATGTCCAGTTAAAAGACATGCAGTTGCTTTGTTTGAACTAACAAAATATATTACTAAAAATTGACCTCATCAATCTTGGTTTATTTGTGGAGATGTGTTAGTATTGCATAAGTCAAAGTGAAAGACAAATGCAAAATAGCTGAAGAAAAAAGGAGCCATAAAACAATAACCAAACACAGAAAAATCCCAAGAAACATCAATAGTGATAGTCGTGTTGTTTGTAAATATTTAAAACTACATTTTCTATCATTATCTATCTTGCCTATGCTGCAGAAATAAAGGTTTATTGTGTCCTAAGTACAGCATGAAGATCTATGCATCCATAGATTAGTTCAAGATCATCATTACTTTCCGTGTTTGTTAGTCACATTGATAACAAGTTTTTGGACACATCATTACCATGGCAGGGCTTGAACAGTGCATTAACTGTACTCTTAACCGACAAAAGAAACTCCTATCGTAGCATGGTGTCTTGGTGCTAGCTACTGGTGCCACAGTGGATGATGGTATTATTTCTGTCATCTCAGGTGGTTGTGTTGCGTTGTTTAGTAGCAATGGTATAGTTGGTTTCTCGGTCATCTGAAATGTTGGTTTTGATGGTGGAGTTGTTGGTTCTGTCATCTCAGTTTGTACTGAAGATATACTTATCTGGATTGGTTGCTCAGTTTGTTCTGATGGTTTATTTGTCATCTGGAATGTTGATTCGGATGGTATATATTCTGGTGTTGATGGTGTATAAGTTGTAGGTTCTGTCATGTGGAATGTTGATTCCGGTGGTGTGGATGATGGTTGTTTACTTGGTTCTGTTACCTGAAATGTTGGTGCTAATGGTACAGATGTTGCTTCCTGAGCAGTTGAAGTAGATGACGTTCCATTCATCTCAGACGTGGCCTCATCTACAACAGGAAGTTAAAACATTACAGTATTCTCAAAGTTGTAGATCATTAATATAACAATGTGACATGATTTTTATCTGTGGGACACAGGCAAGTTTCACTAGCAACAGGTGATCAACTGAGATATGTGGACAACTGTTGGAACAAAAAAATTGAACTACAATACCACAAACTCAATTCTAATTACTAGCCAATAATAAACAGTAATAATAGTAATACAATGAAAAGAATGAACATTATTTCAGTTTTCATTCTGATATTTCTCAAACATGCACCATCTGCTGCACGATAGTGCTTTGTCAAACTGAAAACTCTGCCAAGATAAATATGATGTCATCTTACCTGGGTTAACAATTTTGTAGATAAAATTTGCGCGCGCTCCTCCGACGCACTCGCTATCATCTTGAGAACATGGTTGAAACTCTGCATTAAAACATTTGTCTGTACTTGGACCATCTCTGCCATAGTGTGGTTCTGATTCACTACTGGTCCAGCATTCTGCGTAATGCTGAAGACCAATATAGTGGTAACCTTGTAACTGTGCTTTTACTGCGCAGTCGCATAACAATCTAAACACAGAACCAGGTAAGAATCTGAATGAATTTGTCTGAAGGACTAGGAATGGTATACATTACATACTCGTAAACCAATACATGGGTTTCATAGTGTAAGCAAAAATTAGAACCATGGTTATATTATATATATATATATATACTGAAAACCAGTATTCTTATGAGCATGATTTTATTATGCAGCAACCTAATTGTTCATCTCTAATCAAACGGATATAGGACGTACCATGTTTATGGATAAATCCAAAGCGGCAAAGGCTCCTCCATAGGCGTCGCCTTTAGATTGGTGGGCAGAAAAGCCCACCTTAAAAGCCCACCTTAGTTGCTTGCTAAAGCCAAGCAACCCAGGTGAACCACAAAATGCCTGTGGAAGAGGCTAAATCGTTACCCTGGATTCCAGAGCCTTCGACAGTAAATAATAAATTGAAATGTCGCGAAGGCTCTGGTTCAACGGGGAGATTCTTTGATTGAACCGCGCCAATCACAAAACAGAATTAGTGGTTTTAGTACAGATTCTGT